TGCCCTGAGATCTCACCTGGATTCAGGCCTTCAACTGACTGGAACAGTGATGAATTCTCAAATAAATTTTCAGATATGGGCAACCTGAGATCACTTATTAATTATAATTTTAAATCTGGAACAGGAATAAAATGGGAGTAGAGGTTCAGCTGCTCCTCGATAAGGCACCCTCTATGGCTTCAGTAGGAAGGAAGTTGTGCTTCTAAATAGGCACCAGCCACCCCATATTTAAATTCTAGTGCAGACACAGAAAGGGCAGCATTGCCGTGGTGGATCACCTCTTAAGGTCCACCTAGGCCAGTATCCTTTTTATCACAATAGTCATCTTTGGAGGAAGGGATAAGAAATACACAGTAGCAGTTGTAGGATAATCTGTTTCCTAATGTTGGTCTCATTTTGGAGTCCAGTTGTAAGAGATCATCAGCTTCAGCCTGGAAGTAAGGAGTTGAATATTCCTGCTAGAATGTACTGTCCTCAGTGACAGCAACACTGAAAATACTGATTGTCCATATAACTGCTCTGTCCTTTTACAAATGGGGTGAAGTTCTGGACCTCAGACCTTCTATAGCAGGGAGGTTTGCAGAGTAATTATCCCCTGTGAATAAAATCATACATGGGGATCAAAATGAAATTAATTCCCTGCTCCCCTCTCCCCCAACCCCTTGCTGCTACTCCTACCAAAAGAGGTTTTCACTTTTTTTTTTGCAGCCTGGGGATCCAGCTGACCCAGTAAATCTGGTTCCTACAACCTCACCAGTCTCCAATGGTGACATACCCCCCATCATGGAGATGGTGACATTCCTTCTCCTCCCTGCAATCACAAAGTGTTCTTACAGCTCCTGGAGTGTGTGCACTTGTGCAGCTGTCAGGATGATTACATCTAATTGGGCTGAATCGGGTTGGATTGGCTTGCCTGGCAGCAGCCAAAAAATGGGTAGGGGCTCTGTGCAGCTCATTCACCCCCACCCCCATCCCCTGGAGCTGCCTCTTCTCAGCTGCTAAGAAAGCAGTTCTCAAGTGCAATCAAGGGGCTGTAGTGAGGACCAAGGAATGATTCCCCACCTCCCCCCTTCAGCCCACCACCCACCCACACACACACACACACACACACACACACACACAGACATGTCTTTCCCTCCTGTCTGTGTCTTGCAGCATCTCTGACTCTGACATCATTCTCTGCAGCAGCCAATGGCATTGTCCCGCCTCCTTCCCTTCTCACTGCTCTGATGCTGAGCAGCCCTGTCAGTCTTGTGGTCCAGGCTCAGGGGATGGGGGCTGATGCAGCGTAGAGCCCAGCCGCCCAGGACCCTGCAGGCTGGCAATTCATCACCCCAGCTGATCCCATGCAAGAAGGGGGGACGATGCGGCTGGGCAGACGTGCCATAATGTACACTGTGGAGACGGTTCCCAAGGGGAAGAACCGAGTGATGGGGGTGAGTACGGCAGAGCCAGGAGCTGGGACACTGTGTGGAGGGGGCTACATAGGGAATGGGGAGTAGGGAGAATGACTCATCCTGAATTGGCTCCTATAGGTGCCTCCAAAAGCCAGGGAAGAGGGACAAATCTTCCCCTCTGTGCTGTGCTGTGCTGTGCAGGACCTCAGTATCAGAGGATCATATTGCTCCATTCTAGCCTGAAATCTCCTGGGCTACCCTTGTGCTTCCCCTCGCCCTCCTCCCCCCAACCAAGCTTATTGCCTTGGGTGGCAGGGGTTCTGCTGAGACCCTCCATGAGCTCCTCGCCCTCAAGTGCCCATGACCATCAGCCTGTGTGTGTGCAGGTGGATCTCTGACATCCTGATTCTCTGGCTTGCAAAGCAAGTGAGGAGGCAAGGGCTTGGGTAGCAGAGACCGGTGCTGGCATCTCTTCCAGCCTGTGCCTCTCACACTGCTGACAAAAGAAGTAATTAGGGATGGGGGTCTGTGTGCACTTAAGGGGTGTGGTTAACATCCAAAGAGCTGGTTCTCATCTCTCCCACCCCATCCACCAAGTGTACATGGGGTTGGGGAAGGGCTCAAGGAGATAGGGCATCTAACTAGCCAGCCAGACAGGATGAGGGTCCCCTTGTACCTCAGCAGGTGTCTTGGCTCTGTTTTGGGTTCCAGCTTCTGCCCTGCTCCCACATTCAGAGGGGGATGGCAGAGGCTGGGAGCCTTGTGTACAACCAAGGCCCTGGTCCTGTTGTAATCTTCCTCTTCTCCCTGGGAGCTCCAGAGGTCTGCGGCCTGCACCCAGCCAGGTAATGCTGAGTGCCTGCAGGTTTGCTAAGCTGATAGGAGCTGGGGATTTAGGTATAGCCTTGGTCCAAGCTATAGCACTGGTGCAGCATGTAAGGGGAAAACCTTTCTTAGAGATTTTTGCTGGCTGAGGACACTGTGTGTGGCTCACAGGGATTAATGCTGGGATAAATGGGCGTGAAATGGAAAGCAAGGTCAGGCTGCAGCAGAAGGAGAAATCTTTGCACAAGTCCATTCAAGGGGCCTTTGGTGAGGCTCTTCCAGAGACCACTGAGGAGATCAGAACTCATTACACAGTGATTCCAGTCCTTGCTGGTGGGCCCTGGCTATAGGCCTGGAAAGGATGGGGCCATGAGTCAAACACTGCTGAGCTCTAACTCACACGTGATAGGGCTGCAGCAAGTCAGCTTGCTGCTCTGCCTCAATATCCTCTTCCCACCAAACAGGGTAGTCACTTAGCCAGCTTTCCTTGGCTAATATTTGTGCTACCAACACATGCTCAGGCTTGAGCCTTGGATCTTCAGAGTTAGACATGCACCTCTACCACTTGAGCTAAAGGACGCACTATCTCCAGTGCAAGCTGCAACAGCTTCATAAAGAGACTCCTTGGGGATGCTGGTACTGTGTCCCAAGCACTCTGGAAACAGAGGGCTTGAGACCAGCCAGAGTGATGCTCCCAGAATGGCCCTTTTTCTGGGCTTAGTGTACATGAATGTCAGTAAGTGGGTGGAGAAGAGTTAGGAGCATCCCCCCCTGACAGCACCAGAGATGCAGCATAGACATACCTATTCTCCTCTTGCATGCGCTACACTGACATTGCTTTGACCATGCAGGTCGACTTCAAAGTCTGCCCATGCCCATGCCCCTTGCATCCCTTTCAGAGCCAGTAAGGTGTGGCCAGGGGTGAATATAATGCACATTATTGCTGCAATTATTCTCTCAGACCATCCAGATCATGACTGGCTTCATGCACATCGGCTTCGGGATCGTCCTGACAACCCTCACAAACGTCTACAGCTCTCTCTTTGTGGTTGGCGAGATCCCATTCTTGGGAGGAGTGTCTGTGAGTAGCATGAATGGAGCTGAATGAATCTGAGTTGGACTGGTTTCCCCTGGCCATCTCGTGCCCTGCCCTCTCCACCTGCCTCCCCCTGAGCTTCCCATCAGCATCCCATCTCTGGTTGGGGTTTGTCTCTTAGATGCACATGCAGAGGACTGGGATGCTAATGGAGCACATGGATTATTAGCTGTATGATGGGAACCAAGGTCACAGATCAGGTCCCTCTGGTCCTTGGTACTGTCCCACCCCAGCACAAAAAGATGCCCTGCCTTAAAAAACTTAATCATGTGTACACAGTAACATTTTGCTAGCATTGCCTCATCAAAAAGATAGCACCCCATAGGCAATTTAGTTTGCCAGCAAGATCCCTGGTACAGATGTGGCTATACTGACAAAAACATTTCCATCAGCTCAGTCTACATTGGCAGAGGTGGTACAGAGGTACACTGGCAGGAAAGTTCCTTCTGTTGGCATGTTCTGTGTCTCCACAAGGGGGCACGGCAGCCTCAGCAGATGCTCCTCTAGTGCAGACAAGCCCTGCGTGATGGATACTTAATGCCCTGATCCAGATTAATCCTACCTCTCAGCCACACGGCAGGGAAGCTCCTGGTTTTGGGCATCCAGAGAGGTCATTGCTTTCGGGTGGACGGGATCTCTGTCTCCTGTGCTCCCCAAAGGATTCAGACCAGCAGGGAGGAAGATTCCAGTCTCCCCCTCTCCCTGATTTCCATCACAGACACTGGAGATGGGTCCTCAAAAAGGGAAACTGAGCTGATCCATGAAATGAAAGACAGTCACAAGTTAATGCATTGATTGTTTCCTCTTTGCCACTCAGTTCATCATTTCTGGATGCCTCTCAATTGGAGCTGAAAAAAGCCCTACCGAGTGTGCGGTGAGTCCTAAAGGATCTTTGGCCTGAGTTTAATTCTCCTCTGACCAGGCTCAAATCAGAAATCTTGTGCATGCAGGACTAAAGGGACAGGGGGCTGAATTCAATCTTGTTCCCAGGACAGAGCTGAGGGATGCCTGGGTGGGATCTCTTCAGGGCAGGGCAAGGGTTCACATGAAGCCACTGTTGGTGCAACAGGAAATTCCTCTTCAGTGCATTGGCCAAATTTCAGCCAGAATTTTATGCAATGAAAACATGGGGACTCAGCGAGACTGAAGCATTTATAGATGTGTCTGTTTGCCACATTGTTCAAGCTGGGGGCAAAATAAAAATTCCAAACAGTTTCTTTTTAATATTTTCTAAAAGAAGGATTTCAACTATTTTTTAAAATCCAAAGTGACTTTCATTTTGGATTTTCTTTCAATATTACTTTTAAAATGATAAAAAAAAGAACACTTGGAGTGTTGTGGCTTAAACAAAATGTTTTGATCCCCCAGAACAAAATGTTTTCTACTTTTTAATTCACCAAAATGTTTTTTGTTTGTTTGTTTCCTTTCTTTTTTTACCTTTTGGAACTCTCAGTGAGCCACAATAGTTGCACAGATATAGTGTAGTGATTTTATTCACCACTACAGGTGCAGGATGACAAGACAGAGATGTTGCTATCCCTGTAAATTATCCCTGTAATATTGTAATGTTGGGAGATGGCCAGTGCCAATGAGTTCTCTGCAGACTACAGGATTTGTAGCCTCCATCCACTAATCCCATCTCTCAGTCTCAGCTATGTGAAGCGCAATAACCAACCATGTACCAGCCTAATATGGTCTAGAGTGACAGGCACCCAAAGGCCTCCAAATTAGAAAAAATGACATTCATGTACAGACTGGATTATCTTTAAGATCCTTCTAGCCCTGTATCCTGTCTCTGACAAAGGCTGGTATCAGATGCATCAGAACGTGTAAGAAGCTGCATAAGCTGCCCCTACTGGAAGCTCTTCTGTAGGATGATGACGCTCATAAATAAACGGTGACTGACTTGCTCTCTGAACCTGCACAGTTTAACTCTTCTAAGTATACAGTATGGAGACATAACACATTTATAGTGGTATAACATACATCCATTTAAACACAGGTTTAAGTTACATGGGTATCTGAAGCAGACAGCTAGCACATCTCTGAGGGTTTCTGTCTGCAATCGGTGCTATTACAGTGCCTTCTCAGTAAGTGGAAAGGAGCCATTGATAACCCGTTTACACTGCTACCCTGGGATGAAGCTGACTAGAGCAGTGGACACACAGCCCATATGCTGCTATAACTTACATCAGTGCATAGCTTTGAAGTTGATCCTTGGAAAGTCTAACATCCCAAGGTGCAGTGACATTGGGGCAGACCAATAATGTAATTTAACCACTTAACATTTACACCAGTGTAAAGGCAGATTATAATGGTGTAAAGGTCCCATGTGTCCATGCCATGAATTATGTGTAGTCTTGTCTAATGTAATTGTGATGTTCTTATTTTCCCTATAAACATCCAATCCTATTCAGCTCTTGCAACTTCAGGGTGAGGGCTGCAGGCATCATTCTATTTGAATTCTGCTGCTGTCTATTGCAGGTCAGCCCAAAAAAGGATAAACTATCATAGGGTGGTTGAGCTTCCAGTGTGTGGATTTTCACTGGCTTCAGTACAGGCAGAGCCAGGTGTTCCAGATACAAACTGGGTGGCACGGGCACATGGTTCAAGTTATTTGCCAGGATTCCATCTGATTAGTATTTCATCTGCATCTAGCAACTTCATTCACTGTCAATTTGTGTCTTCCAGGTGAAAGGCAGCCAGACCATGAATGTCATCAGTGCCATCTTTGCACTACTGGGGATCACGTCTTTTATAATAGATCTGAATTTAAATGGCCTGTACCGTTCAGAGTTTGATTATTACAACTATCTAGTGATGGTAAGTGAGGGTCCCAATCCTACCAGCACTCAGCATTCCTTGGTTTGGGATGCTTGTTGTTGGAGGGTTTTGGGCTCTCCTAAGCTCACATGTAAAACTACTGATGAATTGATGGAGAGAAGGAAGGATCCATTAGGTGGGGGAAGGGACCTTGAAAGGGCCAACCTCTGGCACAGAACCAGGGTGTGCTATTGCTAATACACCCCAGGTAGACTCCTGTCCAGCCCTCTTCTTGAAAATTTCCAGTGAAGGAGATTCCACAAGTTCCCTGGGCAGTTTGTCCCATTGTCCCACTGCTCTTACAGTTAGGAAGTTTTCTTTGGGATTTCATCTAAATCCGATAAGCCTTTGCCTCTTGTCCTGCCCGCTGTGTCAAAGAATGACTGTTCCTTCTGTGTAAACTTTGGTGACTCCTGCTCAGTGCTCCAAAGGGCCAAAGTTCCTGCCATTTATCATTTTTATGGTAGGCCGGGAAGGGCCTGAGATCTGGGACCTGCTGTGCTTGTTGGTCTGCAGGCACTTAGGGCTGGGAATGTCTCACACGTCCTTGAAGTAGGCAAACATATACATGCCACTGAAATTAGTAGAATCAAAGGGTATTTTCATGCCTAAGTTCCTCAAAAGATCAGGGCCTTTCAGTCTAAATGGTCCACGCAGTGTAAAGGTGGGAGGTGAGAGAGGAAAGAAACATTCAAGCAGAGCATTTTACGAGGTAGAAAACATCCAAAACTTGGGGTCTGGTTCCAACTTAGCTTGATTTATAGGAGAGCAGCCCTGGGAGGTCCCACAACAAGTCCCCATTGTGCAAGGTGCTGTGGAAGACATAAGGAGACAAAACAGCCAAGGGGATTTGTGCTAACACTCACCCAGAAAACCCCCAGTGGACCTTGAGCGGGTGCTTTTGGCCTGGTACTGGGGATCTGCTGATTCCAAGCAGGCTAGTTGTGAAGTTCCTCAGCCCATGCTAAGGTCACAGTCCAGCCCAGCACTTTGGCACATGCATGATGTTGATGAAATATTATTGCATAAAGTAGCAAATCTCCCAAATCTCTGCCCCAGCATGCACTGGGCAGGACCAAAAGCCTAGTATGGCCCTCCTAGGGATATGTAGGGGATATGCTATGACATTAAACATATGCAGTGAGGATGAGGAGATGGGATCTCAACTGTTGAAAACTGGCATAGCTTCGCGGAAGTCAATTTAAAGCTGATTAAGACCACTGAAGTTCTGGCCCGCAGGGTGTAGAATCCTGGCAGAAGGTGAAGCCTAAATCTGGCACAGGAAACCCACTGGTATGACCCCTCCAGAGCACCTCAATGGGGGAGAGATAGAAGGAGGATTTTGTTCTGCCAGGGATGTTCTTGGGGCAAGGGGGGCACCCCAAGGAGGAGTGAGTTGCATGCAGTATGCAGTAACCAGACCTGTAGGCCACATCCACTGACAGATGAGTGATGCTCATGGACATGCTGTTGTGGGTCTCTCTTTTCGAGCAGGCAGGGAACGGGATCTCCATCGTGCTGCTGATCTTCACGATCCTAGAGTTCTGCATTGCAGTTGCCACTGCACATTTTTGGTGCCGAGCGACCCGTGCTAACTCCAATGAGGTGAGCAATTTAAGGTCCAGGGGGGCTTTGGCCAGGTAGGACTATGGGAAGCCTGAGGAGATGCTCATTTCTGTTGATTCTGATCTCTGTTTAGTAAGCAGTGGTTCAGGGAGGCTCAATGGGGCTTGACTAACATGGGATTCAGGAATAACTTGATTGTTGGAGTGACAAAAACAAGGCCAGGGGCTTCAATGCTGGGACAGTACCTGGTTGCACTGGTGAGCAGGACACTGTCTAGTGGAGTCATTCTGGGGACACTCAGCAACTTCAATGGGTACTAGTACAGGGTCTATACAGGAAGATGCAGGTGGTAAGTCTTGGTCTTGCTGACAGAGAGCGCCAATTTCTTGTTTTCCAGGCCATGCTGATTGTGCCGAATGCTGTCAGGGCAGATCCCCTGGTTCCCACCACAGAACTGCTCCAACCACCAAATTACAACGAGGTGATTTATGATCCCAAGGATGAGGCTGAGTAGCAGGGCCAGGCAGGAGAAGGTACCTGTAGGAGGAATCATCCTGACAGCAGAAGCAGCTGCTCCTTCTCTGGGGAGCAGAAACTGACCCCTGCATGATGAACCTCCTTCAATTACTGCAGATATTCTAGCCCCTGCCTGTTTCCTCTCTGAGTGCAAAGAGGCAAGGTCTTTCTCCCCTCCTCCCTGCCCTCCCAGCACAGGGCCGATTCTGTCCCCTAATGAGAGTTTATTGAGACCCTGGTATGCAGGAGAGCCCAACAGGCAGCTATGGAATAGTCAGTATTATTCCCCACCCCAAAAAGCTTCATGCTCTTATTCTGGTCTATGAGGACGTTGCATGGGTTGGCCAGTTGCCTGCTTTGCAGGGCAGAGCATAGCCAGGGCAATAGAGTGAAAGCGTGGCTAGGAGTCTACTGCTGTCTCTTGCTTCCTTTGTCACCGAATCCTGGCGTGACCCACTTAGGCCATGATAAAGGCACTGGTGTGGGTAGGTAGAGGGTACCACCTTCATAAGCCCTTTCATCGCACCTTCTACACTCATCCTGCACCAGGTCAGCCATGAGTGCACCCTGCTATCATCTTCTGGCCCAGTCTCCTGTGCAGAATGAGGGCCAGATCTTAGAGGGCTGGCAGCCACAGAAGAAAAACTTCCCTATTTGAGCTAGGATAGGCCTCACTTCATGGGTCATCCACTGCACAGGAGAACAGGATATGGTGTTAGAGGCACAGACATTTGCAGGTCTATTCTTCATCCCAACCCTATACCCCCTCCAGCTAGAAGAACAGGATGCTATATTTACACAGATAAAATGAAGCCTCCCACACAAACATGACAGCCACAGACAGGAAACCAGCAATATCTTATGGAGTGTATAACCAGGCTGTATATCTGATTTACTCATCCCTTCAAACAGCAGGGTATGGCTTTTTTTCTCCTATGTTACATGACCACAAAAGTTATATGCCTTTTATTGATCATCAGTAAAAGGTGTTCTTTGGAAAAGGCAGGTGGGGAATCCCTCCCCTAAGTTCAGTAGGTCTTGGATAGGGTTTTAAGAGCAAAGCTTCATTTCTCCTGGCTCTTAAAAGCCTGGTGGAAATTTTGGATTATTAGTCTGAGGTGACCATGGAGTGGTCAGAGTCATGTAGTTGTATACCTTGTGTCTTATAAGAGGTCTTGAAGTATATCAGGACCTACATACATGCCCTACATTGACCCAATCTTTTTACATTTGGTTGTATTTTTGTTGGTTTTATTAAATGTTTAAAATAAATTATTTGTTTGAAACTTTCAGTTCTGGATCTTTGGGTATTTTGTGCCACTTCTGAGTGAGATCCACACACACTCTCCTCGGCAATTACTGTGGAGATGCCACAGACAGGCTAGCTGATGGAGTTGCAATGCTCTTCTCACCTCCACTGGCTGTTGTTATTTCTATGATGACATTCCCATGACAACATCCCATAGTATCACTGACTGACCCATACAGGTGGCGGTCTCATGCATCGTGTGCCTACTTTTGGGAAAGGCTTCGCACATGAAGTTCTATGCAGTTGCACTCACAGTTTATGTATCTCAACATTTTAAGACCCCACATAAAAGGAATTGAAACCAAAGCTTTGCCTGCCTTGGATATGTGGCATAGAAAAGAAGGGAGAAGAATAGTGAACTCAAGACAGGGTGGGGGGTGAGTGTTAGGTAAGCAGCTTATCCTCTGAGTTGAAACTGTTAAAAAGAAGTGGATCTCTCAGCAGGCTAATTTGTCTATAGAAATGCAGAAGCAACAATTTTGTGGGTGTAAACTGGTGCAGCCTCTTTGACTCCAGCTGGATTTAGACCAGTTAAGGGTCTGCCTTTTAGACAGCTCTCGCTCATTATGAAGGAAGCAAAGAACTTGGACTCCAGTCCATGGCTGCGGGGCCCCTCTTAATGCAGTAGCTAATGCAACAGAGAGCTGGCAGCAATCAGAACAATCCATCCATAGAACTCACAATGTGAACAACCTCTGCGTTATCAGCCAAGCGCGGCACTGGAGAGCGAGCCATGCCATTACATAAGCAACTAAATATAGGCCAGCATACGCAGTCTGTGATAGAAAACAGCTTTCAGTGTCAGTTAGATTATGTAAGTAAGTCTTCACCTGGTAGATGGGTGTCACACTGTTGTCCCCAAAGGACAGTTAGTTCGTGCCCTGTGCGCTTGTGCCAATAAACACACAGGGGTGAAGGATCCAACTTAATCTTTATTTCTGCGCAGAAAGTGGTGCTTGGCAATCGTTCGCAAAGCAAGCACCCACACCCCAGTGGGCGTCTGCCTTATATAGCTATGTAACAGGTTAAACTTGCTGATGTGATGAAATGTGTAGCAAGCCCAGCAAGTAACCCCCCTTCCAGCTCCGGAACTTTGTTGATACAGCTTTTCCTCTAGCGAGGCCAGCAATTAAACAACTAAGCAACAAGCGATCTCCCCCAGCCTAAACAACCTACTCTATGCCCTTGGTTAGATAAAATACTTTTTTCAAAACATACAAAGCTGTTCCTGAAGTAGAAAATGCATAGTAAAAGTTTAGGGGATCTCTGCTAGACATGGCTTCCAGCCTTACTTCTGTCCCTAGGGGTTTAGCCAGGTGCCCCTGAAACAAGGGGTGCTCATCAACATGTTGAACCTTTAACTGCCCCGGATGTTTTTGTATTCATTCACAAATGGCCTGCCAATCTTCCATTTGAGACATCCTTTTTCCCTCTGCAGTGTGCAAGCTGCTTTACTCCAATTTTTAATCCAATATATCAGTGCCTTAACACAAAAATCATACTCTAGATCAGAGGTGGGCAAAATGTGGCCCGCAGGCCGGCTGCAGCCCACCAGGCCATTCTATCCAGCCCGCAGGGCCCCTAAAAAATTTAGAAAATTAATATTTAGCTGCCTCTGGCTGCCTGTGACGTGGCCCTCGATGGCTTGCCAAAATTTAGTAAGCGGCCCTCTACCCCAAATAATTGCCCACCTCTGTTCTAAAGTCTATTAATTGACTTCCAGGTCCCTTCCAGCCCTAATTTTGTACAATTCTATGACTTTTTGGACTCTTGTCACAATTGATCCACCATTTTTGAGGACAATGAACAATGCGTTTTAACCCTTTCCATCACAGGAAAAAATATGACTTGTTTCTCTGCATTTTTCTGGTTTTGGCATTTGCACAGAGCTGCTCATCTTCTCTTTTCTGGGAAGCCAGTCAGTTTAGTAACACATGAAGGGCAGCTAAATTCTGTGTGTGCTATGCATGCTGAACTCAAAAAGCATCTCAGCCAGCCTTATCTAGAAGGAAAAGGCTACTGCAGGGATAAAAAGCAATGCATCCTGGAGTGCAAAACTAATAGAAACGCACAGAAATAAAGGGGTTTTAAAATTATTCATGCAAAATATTCCATATGAAATTAACAGGCAACTAGCTGGTGTGAGTGCTCAGGTATATCCCCTTATGTGTTAGAGCAGGGGCAGGCAATTATATCAGGCGGAGGGCCGCTTACTGAGTTTTGGCAAGCCATCGAGGGCCGCATGACAGGCAGCCGGGGGCAGATAAATATTAATTTTCTAGATTTTTAGGAGCCCTGCGGGCTGGATAGAATGGCCTGGCGGGCCACATCCAGCCCACGGGCCACATTTTGCCCACCCCTGTGTTAGAGACATGATCAATAAAGTTCAGAGCTATGCACTGGGTTATGCTGTTCCTATCTCTTAAGGGAGTCCTAGCAAGAGGGGACATAACAGCTAACAGAATAACCGTAGCGATAGCCTAACAGGGAAAACCAGATTCCTCCATAAAGGCACTAACACAGAAAACAGCTTACTTATGCAAATGCTTCATCAAATTTAAGCATTGCTGGCATCTGACTGGCCCACATTATAAGTAAGAGGAACACGGCTGCATTTACAACGATGCCTTCGTCATCCTAGGGAAGAATTTATATTGTAACCGTAACAAAATCTTCTCAAACAAAATGAAGGATAAATCCAAAATACAGAGTACACAACCCCAAACTTCTTGTTCAAAAGTCTGGATTTTATGCTATAAATAAGAGCAACCCTGGCCATTATATATATACACACACACACACACACACACACACGCGCGCGCACGCGCACACACACACACACACACAGAGCCAGAGCCAGAGCATTCACCTTGTGGTTTTTCTCCGTGACAACAAATAAGTTCCCCTGGCTTAGTTGGTGAACGGGATGCGTTCCATATCCTCCCATACTAATTGGCTTGCTTTACCTTTCCATATTTGCAGAGCAAAAAGGACTGACAAAAATGCATATTCAGTGAAAATGAATATAGAAATTGTTTTAGAAGCTAACAGGGGTTGGCTATAAACATTACAGCATATGTTTTCCTTTCCTGTTTTCCTAACGTTTGGGAACCAGCTACAGAAAGGAGTAGCAGCGATATGAACATTTTTTCTCTTTCTGTTGAGCTCCCATTTATTCTTTGGCTCCCTTCTACCTCCGATTTTCCAATCTATTTTCCTTACATTGTAGCTTTTATAACTAAAATACACTGATATTCTTTGCTTAGAGCATTTAGGAGACAATAAAAAATAGCAAATCATGACTGATGTGTTTATTGCTCTAACAAATCTTGTGTATGTGAAGAAAAACAATGTTCTATTACACTGAGAAGGTATCTCAGCTCAAGAGACTGTTTGGAGAAAAAAAAAATAATGAAGCTACTATATATAACAATTTAGCAGCTCTGATCCATTCCAGAAAGCAGCTTCGGTCTACATCACAAAACTCACTCTGGAATTTGATTAGAAACCCTATGTTAAGAACAGAATGAGACTAGACAGAGAGCAATGCTCTGATGCTGGGTCTAACCTTATACTCCTGACTCAGGCAAAACGTCCTCTGGCTCTACTGGGAATTTTTGTTGGGGGCAGAAGTCTTAAATCAGGACTCTTCCTGAAAGAGAAGTGACTCCTATGTGAGATTACATTAA